AACCAGCCTCTGCTCCGCTTCGTGTCCGACCTGCCGTGAGGAGCGTCCGAAGGGGGAGTGAAGTGCCTTGGTGGGGGGGTGAGCTCTGCTGGGGGCACACGGCACAGCCTCCTCCCATCCAATGCTCGGGCAAGACCAGCAGCAGGCCCAGCCTGGCTCAATTTGCCGTTCGGTTCGTTAAGTCTCAAGATCGGCTGCCTGACGCTGCTGTGCCGTGTAGCAGTCGGTTTTCCTTTATGTGTTGCCCCAGGGTCGACAAGCCCTGTTCCGTCCAGGTTCCTCTTCTCCCAAACGTGCTGCTTCCCTCTTACATACTCTTACTTTGGGTCCCGTCTTGGCAAAACTGTGCTTTCACACAGCCTGGATTTGGGCTGTGATTGGGGTCTTCCAACTACCCCCTTCCTCTGGCTGCAGGTGTTTGTTATCTCACAGGAGAGATGTGCTGCCTGTCCCCTCATCCCTGGAGGAAGAGCATTGTTTGGGGAGGTAGAGCCAGGCTCTGCTGCTGGCGTCGTGGTGGATTTGAGGCGCAACCTCAGCTTGTCCGTTCCTTTGTTTATCTGTAGATTAAAAATGACGCTCAGCAATCCGGGATGTCAAAGCTTAGTTATAATTAATGCTTGTCGAATGCTTTGAGGGCCCTGAATGACACCAAAGAAGGGTAAAATATGCTCCTTGTGCAGCTGAGAGCAGCAGGCAGCACCGATCATCCCTCCGGGAGGGCGGTTTCCAGTGCAGGCTTCCCCTCCGGAGCAGGAGGCTTTCAGGCTCACCTCCTGCCGCCCTTTTGATCTTATCCCCTCCTTTCACTGCGCAGAAAAGAAAATCTGTTCCGTGACCAGCGGGGTCAGGGGTAGGTCAGGCACTGCCGCCCTGCTGAATGGAGGCTTGATCCTCTCCGTGGCGGAGGAGAGCACACGGGCAGGCTGGAGGATTATGGAGTTAATCGTCCCAGCAGCGCCGGAGGGCCCTGAGCCCTGCCTGCTGCCTGGAAGCCTCGGCATGGCCAGGGCAGCTGGGCTCCCAAGAGCCCTGTCAGGAAAGCAGCTTGGCTTTCACCTTGGCACTTCATCGTGCGAATCCTCTGCTCTGTGCTGGGCCTGTCCCTACCCCACAGGCGAGGCTGTTCCCTTGGCTGTTCTCTTTTTCCTGCTGGAGGCAGCCCAGTGCCTGCAGCTGGCCAGAAGCTCAGCGTGGAGGCCGGGTGCTCTTAGGAGATGTACTCCTGTGGGGAGAGGGTGCTGCGGGAAGCGCTGCAGGCGGTTGCATCCAGCCCAAGCGTGTAAAGCTGCGTCCTGTGCTGCCTGCCTGGTGTGATAAAGCCCGGGAAGCCAAGGAACGTTTCTTGCTGCAGCTGGAAGTCATGGCTGGGAGGTGACAATGAGCCCCAGAGAGTGATGTTTGATGGTAAATTAATGGAGTCTTGCATTTTCCTGTAATTAATAGCATCGGGTGGTTTAGTGGCTTATTTTCAGGTTGGAGTGCTCTGTTCTGAGTCCCCGTCTCGCTGACTTGTAAGCTGTGAGGCACTGTCCTCTGTGCCCCAGCTGCCCAGTCCCTCTGTCATCGGCGTCTGTCACCCAGGCTCCCTCCGGTACCTCCTGGGACCTCTGGGCGAAGGGGCTTCTGCTCTGACGCCTTTTTTTCTTGCCCTGCCTGCAGTACCACAGCAGTCTGGCTTCTCTAAACGGCCTTGAGGTTCATCTGAGAGAGACTCTGCCCAAAGACTCCTCATCCTCCACCAGGACAACCTACAGCTTCACTCACTATGACTGTGTCCAGAACGTGCTCACAGGTAAGCCGTCGTCTTCTGGAGCAGCAGCCGCTTCGGAGGAGGGAATAAGGAGGAGGGCAGGGTTCGTAGCGACCTGCTCTCGTGCTTCAGGCGGCTTCTCAGAGCATTTCTTGCTGTAACTCACCAGATAGCTGGGGCATAAGGCCCTGTTGAGAAAGCTTTGCCTTTTGTGAGTTTATAATGTGCTGAAGGCTTGTTGATGGCTGTGTTTGGGGGAGGGCCAGAGGCCGCTGGGAGATGGAGCAGCTGCCACTGGCGCTTTGCTCGGATGGTATTGCTTGGGGTTCTGCTAAGGGCTGCGTCTGAGGACAGGGCTCAACATCCTCTTCAAACCCGCCCTCCCTCCCCCCAGCTTCCTTCGTCCCTGGTGTGGTGCCTTTTGTCCTGCTGCTCAGCAGAGTGTTGTCAGGTGTTTCTGGCTATAAAAAGCAGGAACAGGGAACAGCTGGAGCCAGGAGTTCAGAGGCTGCTGCTCTGGATCGCTGGGTAGACCATCGACATGCAGAAAGCCCCGTGCACCTATTGCTCCAGTTCATTCTAAT